ATTTTCTAACAAAAAGTGCAAAGTAACAAGTAGAAAAAAAGAAAAATGCACAAAGAACTTGTATGCAGAGTTTTCCATTTACAGATTTTCCCTGACTTTCTTTTCTCTGTAAATTAAGGGTGCACACTATTGCTGAAAAACACAATCACTAGTCAGATGTCACACAGTCAGATGTCCGTATGCACAAAGGCACAGATCCCTAAACAAGACCATATCTGCAGATTCAACTTTTTTTGTAGAAGCATTTTTTAAATTTGAACTAGCACCTCATGACTACACCATGTTATGTACGAGAAGCTGCAAAAGACACAGGCACAAGTGGAATGTACAAAACATGGTGACATTAATTTTTAAGTAAATATAATGGGCGATATATTGCGTCACCAAAAATGATTGAGGGCATGTACATATATTGCGCAATAAGTCGATATATTGATTATTGCGACAGGCCTACTGCTATTACTTTAAGAGCTGCCACTGCTGAATATGACGTTCCCTACCTCGCACCAGGCCCAGCGTCAGCTAAGGACGGCCCTGATTACAACAGTTAAGAATTAACAGGGGGCAAACAGACAACATCACATGAAGTTAAAAGAGCTACATAAATCAACAGTACATATCAACGACAAAAAAAAACACTTTTAAAGATACCTTACAATAGACTTAAGAATGTTAAATGTTTTAGAAGCCTTTGAGTTCAAAGGTTTACAAAGTAAAAGTACAAAGTAAAAAGGGACTTTATATCAGATGAAAACATTCTAAACAAAGTTAGGTTTACAATGAATGGCTCTGGAATTATGAAGGTGAAATTTACCCAGATAACAAAGCAATAATACAATATGTTCAAGATTACTGTGCTTAGAATGAAAATCTGACAAAAAAAAAAGATAGATTCTGACAGCATTAAACAGGTTTGTAACGCGCGCTCAAATTTGGATTGTGTAGTTGCCACATTTGGATATCACGTGATATGACCTAAAAAAAACAAAGCCATTGTTATTTCTACAAATATTTATTTTTATTATACATTTCATAGTTACCTTTTGTGGGAAGCTTGGCTTAGGTGGCCAATTCTGTGCCTGTAAATTTTGACAGAATTTTAACATATTGTGTGACCAAATATCATGTAGTGCGACCACTGCAGAGTGTTTTCCATTATAGATATATGTCCTAGATTGGCAGTTTTTGTGCTTTTATATTAAATTAATGGTTTATATATATAAAATACTTTATTTTAGTATAATTTGGAATAGACTTTTATGCAGTTTTGGTCATTTTTTAATATATTTCAGACAGTTTATGCTTTGTACAATATGAGAAAAATGCAACAACAAAAAAAATTTAGAGCATGCAATTTTAGTTTGGTAATTATGCATTTACTAGTAATTTATTTATTATTAATTATTTTAATCTATTTTACCAGATGCTACCGCCAACCACTCACCATAGGCAGCGAGCTACTTCTGAACATGCAGTCAAGCGCAAACTTCAAATTTTCCAGAAGTCATTGTCTACTGTAAGAAAGATGTTCATGCTGTCATCTCAGAACCTGAGCCAGCAACCTCCCGCTATACTCTAAATTGACCCTTCGCAAAGACCCCCCTTAGTTACTGTTCCTACGTCCAATAAGCCATGCTGCTCTCATGCCACACATGATGTTATCACGCAGTGAAAAATACAGCAAAGAGGAAACTGACAACATGCCGCCAGACAAGACAGAACAAGTTACTTTAGGTATGAAACAAAGCATGGTAACACTTTATTTCGATAGTCCACTTTAGACATTCTATTAACCGTAAGTAACTTTGCAACTACATGTCAACTAGCAGTTAGTAGAGTATTAGTAGGCTGTCTGCTTAATATCTTCTAACACTTTCTTTGTCAACTTATTCTACTAACCCTAAACCTACCCTAACAGTCTACTCTGAGAGTTAGTAGACATGTAGTTGCAAATTAATGAGAATTAGTTGACATGTAGTTGACATGTAGTTACAAAGTTACTTATAGTTAGTAGAATGTCTAAAGTGGACTATCGAAATAAAGTGTAACCCAAAGTCTCAGATTTTTTAAGAAATTCAAACAATAAATACCATTTTGTGGCTCTTTAAAGGGGTCATATGATGCGATTAAAATTTTTCCTTTCTCTTTGGAGTGTTACAAACTCTTGCTCCATAAAGAAGATCTGTAAAGTTGCAAAGACTAAAGTCTCAAATCCAAAGAGATATTCTTTATAAAAGTTCAGAGTCAACCACGCCTACCTGAAATGGCTCATTCTAAGACGCCCCCACATGTCTACATCACGATGTGGGAAGATTTGCATAACGCCGCCCAAATGTTCATGCAAAGAAGGAAGGCGTAACTTTGATTTTCCCTGTAGTATTGTTGCTGCCGCTGCCGCCATGTTGTGGAGACGCTGTGTGTTTCGTTATGAAAGCGAAACTACTTTGTTTGGCCTTCCAAAAGAGGACACAGCTAGAAATCAGTGGTTAAGTTGTATTTACAACACTGTACCGGAACAGTTCAACCCAAATATTCAGATGTGTGCAGGGCATTTTATGGAGGACGAAGACTGTTTCCTGGGAGAGTAGCCTACTCTTTTTCTATAAAGTGGGATAATTCCAACTTTGCAAGGACAGTCTGGCGCTTCTGACTCACAGCCTGTAAGTACGTTTCCCTTTCAGTTGGTCACTCCGAGTCACGTCGGTGACCGACGAATTGGGATCTCGCTTAGAGAGACCAATCCACTTCGAGTGTAAACTAAATGAGCCAATGCACATTGGCATGCGATGATTGCATCTAGCTGCCGCTGATCACAGCGTGAGCATAAAAAGGCAGCCGGTGCAACGTATACCAGCTTTTCACTTCGGAGCCGAGCGACAACATCGGTCTGCTCCTACCAAACTGTTTCGTGTGACGAGTCTATCGCGTTCTCGGGAGCTTTTTCTGTTGGCGGACGGCGCATCAGCGGTGGTCGTTCCTGTGTTGAGTGGGTTGCGCACTTCAGGCTGCACTACCCCCTGTCGTGCTGCAAACGGCCGTTTCCCCTGTGCATCTCAGCACATAAAAGAGCATTTTCCTAAAAGAGCCAATTTCTCTAAAAGAGTACAATAAGTGGGTGCGTCTTTGTAAAGACGACGGATCGTCTTTTTAAAAATGCAGTATCACCCGTGCGTTTCCGGATGCGGTCGTTACCTGGAGCCAGGTGATGGTCACGATCGCTGCCTCACGTGTCTGGGCATTAAACATGCTGAGGTGGCGTTCACGGATGAGTCATGTTCCCATTGCGGGAAGATGACCATCTCTGAGTTGCGGGCCAGGCTCCGTTTCCTCCAGGGGGGCGGAGCTCCGTTACCTTTACCACGATCTAGTGTTCGTCCTGGGGGGACTATCGCTCCTGCGCTAGTGCTACCAAACCAGTCTCGTTGGCTTCTGCGGACCATCAGCCTCGGCTATGCGATTCAGTTCGCCCGGCATCCCCCCCAAGTTCAGTGGCATCCGCGTCACAACAGTGAAGGCGGCCGATTCTCCTGTCTTGCGTGCGGAGATCGCAGTCCTACTGGCGAAGGATGCGATAAAGCCGGTCCCTCTAGCCGATATGAATACAGGGTTTTACAGCCCTTACTTCATTGTGCCCAAGAAAGGTGGTGGGTTACGACCAATCTTGGATCTGCGTGTCTTGAACCGGGCTCTTCGCCGGTTACCGTTCCATTGTTGAAGCAGAAACGCATCTTTGGGTGCATCCGTCCCCAAGATTGGTTTGCAGCAATCGACCTGAAGGATGCGTACTTTCATGTGTCGATCCTTCCATGCCGCAGACCATTTCTGCGATTCGCGTTCGAAGGACGAGCATATCAGAATGAGGTCCTGCCCTCCGGGCTGTCCTTGTCGCTCCTTGTCTTCACGTAAGTTGCGGAGGCAGCCCTTGTTCCCCTGAGAGAACAGGGCGTTCGCTTTCCCAACTACCTCAACGACTGGTTCATACTAGCTCAGTCTCAGCATCAGTTGTGTGCACACAGGGACTTGGTGCTTTAGCACCTCAGCCGGTTGGGCCTTCAGGTCAACTAGGAAAAGAGCAAACTTTCCTTGACGCAGAGGATCTCTTTTCTCGGTATGGAGTTGGATTCGGGCGAACAGACAGCACGCCTCACAGAGAAACGTGCGCGGTAGGTGCTGAACTGCTTGAATTAGTTCAAAGGCAGGACAGCGGTCCCACTGAAACTATTTCAGAGGCTCCTGGGGCATATGGCAGCTGCAGCGGCAGTTACGACACTGGGGCTGGACGGGCCCCCAAATGCATTGGCATATCAATTGCCTAGAGTTGTTAGCGCGGGAAGATGACCATCTCTGAGTTGCGGGCCAGGCTCCGTTTCCTCCAGGGGGGCGGAGCTCCGTTACCTTTACCACGATCTAGTGTTCGTCCTGGGGGGACTATCGCTCCTGCGCTAGTGCTACCAAACCAGTCTCGTTGGCTTCTGCGGACCATCAGCCTCGGCTATGCGATTCAGTTCGCCCGGCATCCCCCCCAAGTTCAGTGGCATCCGCGTCACAACAGTGAAGGCGGCCGATTCTCCTGTCTTGCGTGCGGAGATCGCAGTCCTACTGGCGAAGGATGCGATAAAGCCGGTCCCTCTAGCCGATATGAATACAGGGTTTTACAGCCCTTACTTCATTGTGCCCAAGAAAGGTGGTGGGTTACGACCAATCTTGGATCTGCGTGTCTTGAACCGGGCTCTTCGCCGGTTACCGTTCCATTGTTGAAGCAGAAACGCATCTTCGGGTGCATCCGTCCCCAAGATTGGTTTGCAGCAATCGACCTGAAGGATGCGTACTTTCATGTGTCGATCCTTCCATGCCGCAGACCATTTCTGCGATTCGCGTTCGAAGGACGAGCATATCAGAATGAGGTCCTGCCCTCCGGGCTGTCCTTGTCGCTCCTTGTCTTCACGTAAGTTGCGGAGGCAGCCCTTGTTCCCCTGAGAGAACAGGGCGTTCGCTTTCCCAACTACCTCAACGACTGGTTCATACTAGCTCAGTCTCAGCATCAGTTGTGTGCACACAGGGACTTGGTGCTTTAGCACCTCAGCCGGTTGGGCCTTCAGGTCAACTAGGAAAAGAGCAAACTTTCCTTGACGCAGAGGATCTCTTTTCTCGGTATGGAGTTGGATTCGGGCGAACAGACAGCACGCCTCACAGAGAAACGTGCGCGGTAGGTGCTGAACTGCTTGAATTAGTTCAAAGGCAGGACAGCGGTCCCACTGAAACTATTTCAGAGGCTCCTGGGGCATATGGCAGCTGCAGCGGCAGTTACGACACTGGGGCTGGACGGGCCCCCAAATGCATTGGCATATCAATTGCCTAGAGTTGTTAGCAGTGCGCCTTGCCTTGAACCATCTCAAAGGTGCTTACAAGGCAAGCACGTGCTGGTCCGAACGGACAACACGGCAATCGTTGCGTTATGGCGTTATTTTAATGACAAATGTCGAGAGCGCATTATTGTAGCGCGAAAGCACATTAATACAATGCGTAAGCGTGAATCTCTCCGCTCGCGCGGATTTCCTTTGCTCTCGCACAAAACCGGACGCGCGCGCTCAGATACACGCTGCTCTCGCCCGGAGAGAGTGCACGCACTTAGAACGTGTTTCCTCTCACTCAAACTGTGTCCTGTGCACTCTCAAATCTCTGTGTGCTCATGCGCTATAGATATGAATTTTTTAGATTTTAAAAATGTAAATACAATTTTTTTAATTTCAGATTTCAAAGATGGATCTGTAATTTCTTTACAATTTAATACTACTTAGTCATATTATTATGAAACGGGTGTTTGGATGATTTGTAAATAACCTAGTTTAACAGTTTGGTCAAACCCTTCTGAACGATCTAAACAAACAAAAAAGCGTACGATTCTTAAAGTTCATGTGGTCATATAGGTCTATATATATATTGTGTACTTGGATTTAAATATATATATAAATATATCTTCTGATTTAAGACAGAACTATTTAGATATGGGTCAGATGCACTATTCCCTAAACCTATACTTAAGATTTGGAGACCAAATATAACACTATAATGAATTTTT